GCTGATAATAATCCTACTAATACTTATAATAATAATGATAATCCTAATAATCATCATCATGATTATAAGCGTCATCATCAGCAGCAACAGCATCATCATCATCATCATCATCAGTATCATCATCAGCATCAACATCGTCGTCATCATCAGCATCATCATTACCATCAGCATTAGCATCATCATCAGCATCAAGAACAGCATCAGCATCCTCATCATCATCATCATCATCATCATCATCATAATCAACATCAGCATCATTATCAGCATCAGCTGCATCATCAGCATCATCATCATCGTCATCATCATCGTCACCATCACCATTACCTTCACCATCACACTCACCCCAGAGCAACATCATCACCACCTTCATATCATCGTCGTCGTAATCCTCATCCCCATCCTTTTCCTCCTACCATCATCATCATCATCAGCAGAAACATCATGAGCATCATCATCATCAGCATCATCATCAACATCATCATCATCGTCATCACCACCACCACCACAGTCATCATCATGTATCCTCCTCCTCCTCCTCTTCCTCTCTCCTGCTTATCCTCCTCCTCCTCCTTCTCATGAAGCTTGTGCCGCTGCCATTACTACTGCTACTCTTCCTCCTCCTCCTCCTCCTCCTCCTCCTCCTCCTCCTCATGCTCCTCCTCCTCCTCCTCCTCATCCTCCCCCTCCTTCTCATCATCATCCTCTATCGTTTTCCTTTTCGCCGTTCTCCTCCTCTTCTTCCTCTCGCGACGCGAAACGCTCCTTTGAGGGGGATGGCCATCGGGCTGGTGAGGAGGGTGGCGCTGGCCTGGAAGCAGAGCAACGCATGGATGAGGAGACCAAGGACCAGGAGGACAAGGAACACGAGTCGCATGGACGACACGTCCACTTGATGGCGACAGGTGCAGCCATCCAGGTTCGCGTGATCCCAACGACCCTGTCGGCGCAGATGGCACAGTTTGAGAGCATCTAGTCTGCCGTAGTAGCCCGTCATTCTGAATGACGGGCTACTACAGTGCGGGCGCGGCCGCAAGCAACCCTCGCAAGAAACCCAACCCTGAGAACCCGTGCGCGAGGTGCACCTGAGGCGAAACCTGGAGCGCCCTGAACGCAGCAGCACCCCCAACGCCTGCGGGAAGTCACCGCGCAGCGCGAGGAACGGAGAAACCCAGGATGACCCGACGAAAAGCAGACAGTTTCTTGATGCGCGCCCCCACTGTGTGGCAAACCTCTCCCCCAGGGGGAATGACACCCCCCCCGTGGGAGAGGTTTGCCACCCTATGTACTCTGCCGTCTCCGCGGCGCCTCGCCGCAGCTCCCCGCAGGAGCTCCCGCGGGCGGGACCCCGCGGGACCTCCCGCGGGGAGCCTCCGCAGGCCGGGCGAAACCTGCAGAGGGCCCCGCGGGCGCCCTTGCCGAGCCCGTCGGACCGCTGCGGTGGCCCGGCGCGACCCTGCGACCACCCTGCAGGGAGCTTGAGATACTAGGGGAACAAAAAGTGACATAAACAGAAAAACTCGGAGGTCCGCGCGGATTTCTCGGATCGGCGCTGGGGCCCCCAGGCGGCGCCTCCGGCGCCGCCCCTGGCGCGCTCCGCGTGCCAGGGAGGGGGGTCCACTTTTTGTTTCCCCTAGATTCAGCTGGGGCGTCGACCTCAGGCACGACAATTCAGGAACGAGGCCCCTCTTTTTCCCACAAGTCAAAAGCTTCGATCCCCCATCGAGGACCCGAGGAGAACCTGAGGCAGACTGTACAACAGCTGAGAAGCACGGAGCTCCTCCCAAAGGAAAAGGGCTCCTTCCTCGGCGCCCCGACTGGATGCGCTGCAGCGTGCGCAGGAGAGACCCAGCGGCCTGCCTGTCTGCCGACCGAGCTGCTGGCGCCCCGTCTTCGCCGCCGTGCCTCGGGGGCACGAGCTGGAGTGCCCCCGGGCCCTTTGAGAGTGGAATCCAAACCTGAACAGCTGAGTACTGTTGGAGGCCTGGAAATGGGCACCAACACCAACACAGGGGGGTTGCCTCCACAGGAGGAAGATGATCCTAGATCTCGGTGCTGGTGGTAATGTTTCGATCACCTCGGAAGCCAGAATACTACCACCATCACCGAGATCTTCCCTCGGTGGAGGCACACCGCCAATACTGGTGCTGGTGTCAATCTCTAAGCCTGCGATACTTAGCAAGAGAAACAGCTGCATAAACGTAAACGCCTGGCGCTCAGCGCTGATTCCTTGGATCGGCGCTGGACCCCGCTCCCAGGCGCGCGGAGCGCGCCAGGGACGGCGCCAGAGGCGCTGACACTGACAGGGGGGTCCAGCACAGATCCAGGAAATAAGCATGGGGCTCCGAACCTTGTGTCTGCCGTCTTTCTTCTTCGAATACAATTGAATACGATGCGTCGGTCGGGAGACATGAGTAAAAGCATGAAGTAGGCAGGCGGATAAAGCAGATTAAGTTCAGGCCCTCCCAGATAGTAACAAAACACAGCAAAGGCACATCGATGATTGAAGAAGGAAGGCGCTTTCAGGGCAGTTTGTTATACATAGGATTTCTAAAAATATGGGATGTGTAATACATGATTAATGTCTGAATAAATGTACGCATGAACTCATCGTTGTTTTTAAGACTGAATCCCTGCATGTCTAAAACATGATCCGCACGCGAAGCAGCTGTTAAGAACGGCACTGTAAAGCAGAGTGGGATCTGGGAGCAGGAGGAAGAGGAGGAGGAGGAGGAGGAGGAGGAAGAGGAGGAGGAGGAGGAGGAATCCAGAAACACCTGCCTGCAACGCCCAGCGCGTAGGTGGCCCAGGGGCCCCAAGTCGCCGGAGATGTCCCGTCGGGCGTGGCGCGCGCCCTCATAGGGGCCTCCCCCGCGGGGACCTCCGCGAGGGGGGCCTCTCGCAGGACTCTTCCCGAGGGCGGGCGGGGCCCGAGGCGACCGCCGTGATGGCCTAAAGCGGATGACACGAGACGACCTCCGTGATGGCCCGAGACGACCTCCGTGATGGCCCTCCAGGGGCTTCCCGCGGGGACCTCCGCGAGGGGGGCCTCTCGCAGGGCTCTTCCCGAGGGCGGGCGGGCCCGAGGCGACCGCCGTGATGGCCCGAGGACGCCCCCGAAACGGCCGACAGGAGCTGACGAGTCTGACGAGGCTACACCCCTCACTCGGAAGAGGCGGGTGGGAAAACACGAAGTAGGGCAGCGTTGAGAACAGCTTGGTCTTCCGCCCGCCCCCTGAAGAGGAGGGAAGAAGGATGACCGCTCGACTCTTGAAGTGGGAAGGCGCCTAAAGTTTTTTTAGGGGGGGAGGGAGGAGAATGGAGAAGCACCACGAAGCGCCGATTGTCCCACCATAGCCCTGTGCACGTGCAAAGGCCGGCTGGGGCGGACAAATCCTGCCCCCCTCTGCAGACACAAGCCAACCAGGGAGCCACCCGTGACAATTATTGCCCGGGCGAACGGCCGAGCCAAGGCGGGCGAAATGGCAGCGTGGTTGCCAAAAATGGTTGTTGCGAGCGTCCGCATCTTTAAACCCTGGCCCATACCAGAAGAAAAAAAGCACCCGCCGCGTGAGGGGAGAAGACGAGGAGGAGGACGAAGCGAGAGCTGCAGCAGGGGCCCGCCTCAGATCGAGGATAGGCCGGTACGCCAGGAATGCGAGGGCAGGGGATCTGGACAAAAACGTTGCGCGGGCACCCCATGTGGCCTGGCTGGCCATTTGTAAATTACGCACAACGGTGACCAAGACGCAGGCCGATACGAATTCACCCTATATCGTATCAGCGGAAAAGATAAACTATCATAACCAAAATCCACACATCCCGTGTGAAACTCGCGGGGCGGCGGCCGCCGGCGAACCAGTGCCAGATCAGCGAGGCACGATAGAGATGGACATCACATATAAAAAAGAAAACCACGCCTGGTATCCTCATGGTGCAATGGGAGGTCGACCACGTCGAGCGTCGATACCAACGCTGCCGTCGATGAGCCCCCGTGCAAAGAACCCGCCGGCCCCCAAGGACGGCCTAAGAGGCCTCCGCAACGAGGAAGAAAAAACAACAAAAACATCAACTATCGGAGGTCCGCGCGGATTTCTCGGATCGTCGCTGGGCCCCCCACCCTGGCGCGCGGAGCGCACCAGGGGCGGCGCCGGAGGCGCCGCCAAGGGGGTCCAGCGCCGACCCAAGAAAAAACCGTGCAGACCTCCGAAAGTTTATGAAGCCGACGTTTTAACTCCCTCAAGCGCGGGGGCCACCTGGGAGCCCCGGGAGGACCAGGCCCCCCTCTGGGCAAGGGCGGGGGAACAGGAGGCGGAGGAGGAGGAGGAGGAGGGAGGAAGGAAGACAAACAAACTACCGCGACCCTTCGCGGAGGAAGCAGCGGAAAGCCCCAAGATACTCCTGGGGGGCGAAGAGGCCGTGGCGAATGCTGTTCTGAAGGCGATAGAGAGCGTGGAGAGCGCGAGCGCGCTGTAGGAGGGGGGGCTCCCCGTCCCGTTTTGCTTGGTCGGTGCTCGACTGCATGCACATGAAAAAATCAAACGCCCAAGCCGCATCCACGGCTGGCCAATTAAAATTGGCAGCGAAAAGGCCACCAACAACCGTGCACCGTGCATAATGCTCGAGGCTGTCCTCGCAATGGCCGCAACCAAATATGCACCTGCCAGTGCCTTGAAAGCGGCGCTGGGTACACCACCCGTTGCAGATGGTGCGGAGGTAAGCTGATTTCAGTTTCGGCGACGCGCGGCTGCCAAGCAGCCTAAAAACTTTCGTCGCGCATGCGGCGCGACGCCCAGGCGGCGTGTTCATGTGCCACCGGTCGAACCGACGCCGCAAGTGCAATTGCGCTGAACACCGGGGCGCGGCGCGAAACGCGGCGGCCACCCGCCCCTGCCAGCCCTGCCGCCGCGGGTCAACCAATATGCGCGCCGGGAGGTCTCTCGCCTTGGCGCGGAGGGCGCACTCGGCCGCCGCCAGCTTCGACAGGAAACTTTGCCCCGCCCACTGCCTCCACCACCCCGCGTGGCCGAGCGAGCAGGTGGAGCGCACGGCGGGGAGGAGCGCGGCCGCGCGCGCATGGACGTTGAGTCCTCCGCGCGCGATGTTCTCAAACATCGCAACCCTCGCCTTGGCGGCAAACGCCAGCGCGGTCAAGTCGGCCAGCCACTGGGGAACATTAAACTGCGGAGGTCCTTGAGGCAGGGAGGAGTGATCCATCCCCGCGGCCCTGGGAGCAGCGCCCGGCATGCCTTCAACCCCAAATCATTAAAATTCGGTGGAAGGTCCTCGAGCTGGGCAACAAAAAGAAGGACAGAACATACATACACTCTGTACGCTTGTAACGTAAGACAGAGCCCTAAGCCCAACCTGCCCCATGTGCGAGCCCGCTCCAAATATTTAGCCAGCGGGCCGTCCCACGACAGAGTGGCTCGACCTGGCCCAACGAAGACACCTAGATACTTGGCGGCGGCCTCAATCCAGACTCCGGCCCATTCGGGCGCCCTCGCCGCCACCTGGGCGCGCAGCTCGTGCACGTCGTACCGGCACAGGGGCACCAGGCTGGTCTTCTGGATATTCAGCGCGAGCCCGGACACAGCCTCAAAGTTCACGAAGAACGTCTGCAGGGTGCCAAGCCAAAAGAGACCATCCTGCAGCACCATGGCAAGGTCGTCGGCCCACGCGCGCGATCGCGCGGCAGGAGCCACGCGACGAAGGCGCCGTAGCATCAGATCCGTCGCCATAGCAAACAGCAGCGGGGACAAGGGGCAACCCCGCCGAATCCCGCGAGTGATCGGGAATCCGGGAAGCCTC